GTATTTGTAATTTTTATTAGTAATGTAGTTGTGAGATGAATGATTTAGTAATATTGGTCATGTGAGTGTGTTTATATAGGTTTTATTTCGAAATGTTTGTTGTCTTTGTTTAAAAGTCGCAAGTTTTAAATTGCAACTTGGCTTTTGTTCAAGAAAATTGGCGCTCTAGAGGGAGTGACGGTGAGAGATGATGAGGTACACTATTTTAGGATATTTTAAGTATTTTTATATGCAAAAGTATATAGAAATTTAGGAAATGTCTGTCTAAAGGTTATTAATTGCATTTAAAACGAATTAGTATCGACAACGTATAAAATTATATTTTTGAGGATATAATTATAGAAATTTTTTAAATTATAGTTTTGTATAGATAGAAATGAGACAAGCAACGTTCTTTGGTCGTGTCCTCGTGGGTAGGGCTCTGAGTTTTCAACTCACGTGTACGCGTTTGTATACTATTCCTTTGAGTAGCTGTGTGAATCGAATACAAAATAATTGCCGAGAAAATATCCAACGCACCAAATTATTGAATTTTTTTTTGGGTGAAACCAAATTATTGAATTATTGTATACTCTATATATTAATTGAGGAAACACTAATGTGAAAATCATATGTGTCACTCAATGAGAGTTTCAAGGAACATGTCATTCAAATTAACCACTAAAACCATGTCAATTAATTCTACATATTTTTATTAATTTATAACATAAATTCATTAATACATGTTTTGCAAGTCCAACTAAATGTAATTTTTAGATTTACCATATCATCTATTTTAAAACTTCTTTTATATTTTAATATGATATATAAAATATTTACACAATTTCATTATTGGAAAATATATATTGCTTTTCGTTTATTATGTCCGACATATTCATATAAATCTAAAATTTATCTGATTTATCATATGCTATATAATTTACACGAATAATAAAAATTAATTTTACACTTAAATATATTGAAATAAATAATATTTTTATATGTTCTGATCAATTGCACATAAAAATATTAAAACTGATGRCATCAAAATATGTTTGATYAAAATTTAACTTGWTTATACTTATSCACAATGCATATYAWTTTGTAAGTTTATAAAKATTARAAATCATATGATTTGTCARACACATTTATATATTAAAATATATTTATTCATTTAATCTTACGCTTGGCGTGGGTCAAAATCTAGTAACATACATTTAGATTGTCCATAAAATAAATCATCGATTTGAAAGGTTATGATATATAATGGGAACGAGAATCTAACATCAGGAGAAAACGGATATACTATGATTATGTAAAAAATCCTGCAAACGTCGAAGAAATATATATACATCTGATAATAAAATGTTTTAAAATGAAAATGTAGCTTCCATAAATCATTACCTCAAGGTTAGAGATTATAGATTGAGTGTATGGTACTTCCAGTTTAGAGTAAGCATAGATTCCTTGCCAAATTAATTCAATAATATTTTTGTTACCGTAGATATTCTGTAAGCATAGAAAGGTACTATTAGTCTACAACAAAGCATCAAAGCCTAATGAGCTGAAAAGACAACGAGATACTTAAAGCTTCATAGTACTTTGATTCTGATAATTTAATTATCAATACATACCATAGTCTATAGATACAGAGTATATCATGCCAAAGGCTTTTAAATAAAAATGTTACAAGTTTATTATAAACACTGTCTCATTATTAGCGGCACTGGTTATTCATTAAAACTCTAAGAATCCAACGTTGGATTCGGTATAATATATATCGCGAAAAATACACTAGTATTTGATGTAAGCAATAGAAGAAGTGTTTGCATTTTTTATGAGTGTACCAAGAAGAGGAGCAATCAAACATTTATTGTCCTTCTCCTTGTAGAAATACCCCAAACACTTGCAATCTCGATCACACTTCGCCTTGCAATCGTTTACCGAAATCGGGCCTTGTCCATCATTCACATATGGACCATTAAAATGCTCAACTCCAACGATCTTATAATAATTGACCGTTTTACCTTTGCTTCCTCCACCGCAAAACTGTGTCGTTTTAGGCGCGGAACATTTCTCGCTCCATGCAAACAAACCTTTCGGTGTAGGACATCCGACGCACATTCCACGACTACAATAACCAAAATCGCCGCAAAACGACGGTAAACCGCATTGGCGAACGTAGTAACTTGAGAAGAAAGCAAAACTCTCTTCCCATTCGAGATACGTAGCGTCAGGGAAATACGAGAAAGCCTTGAGGCTACCATCGGATCCGAGTCTTAGGTACGAAATCGTTCCATTATAGTTGACTTTGCTTAGGTTTATAGTTCCGCCTCCGCTTCCAATTGGTCGGACTTGGAGTAACCGACGGTTATTACTAGGACTAGCCGTCGTTATTGGTTGTGGTGCTGGTTCTAGGAGTAGCTCGTAAGCTGACGGCTCCGTTACATTGTCGAACTCTCGTGTAACCGCGAACGTTACCGTGCCACGGAAGTCATGATCGGTCCATCCACCGTAAGCTAAGGGCGTACCGGTTTTGTTGACATACATGGTTAAACCTTTGTTATCAAGAACCATACTGTACGGACCATCTGAACCGTCCATGTTGGATGTACGGCTAACGAGTTTGTTAACTCCGTTGACTTTTAATGACTGTCCGGTGAGAAGTGTGTCGGTGGGGTGGTCGAAACTCTGCCACACGAACTTGCCGTTTTTGTCGTGAAGCACGATGTTTCCATTGGGTAGGATCTGGAACCCGGTTATGCCTTTGTTCGCTGTGTTAGTCTGCCACTTGACTTGACCGTCTAACTCAGCGAGTACGAGGTTACCGTCTCGGCCAAGTGAGAGCGTTGAGTTGTCTCCGACAGGGTTGTTCCGGTTTGCGTCCCAGATCCAACGATTGAAGTCCATGTCACGTCTCACTCCGACTCGGAGAGCTAAGACGTAGGCGCTTGGGGTAGTATTGTAAAAAAGGAGCTGGAATGGTCTTGTGAAGAAGCTCTGATTCTCTGATTGGATGAATCGGTAACTCGCGTCGTACTCGGTTATGTATGGTGCGTAGCCTGGTTCGTTGAGGACTCTGAATTGTTTCTCTGGAGGGACTTGGGCTATAACCACTGAGACAGTGGAAATGGCAAGTGCTAGGCATAAGAAGACATTAAATCGAAGCATGA